TTTTTTTTTTTTTTTAAATCGTAAACTTTTTTTTTTTGACTAAGTTTTTATCATTAAAAACTTAGGGAAAAAATGGAGATAAAAAAAAAAAAATTTATTCGAAAATGGAAAATAATATGTATAATAAATTTTTTTTTTTTTTTTTGAAAAAAAATCTAAAAAAAAAAAAAACTATTCGAGTTACGACTCCGTTAAAAAAAAAAAAAAAAAAAAAAAAACGGCTAAACTGTTAAGGGTTTAAAAAAAAAAAAAAGCATAAAAGAATATCGAAAGTAGCAAAAATAGCAGATATAGCAGAAATAGCAGAAATAGCAGAAATAGCAGAAATAACAAAAATAACAATGATAATAATAGGAACAACAATAAAAATAAAAGTAACTATAAGAATAATAATAATAAAAATAATTATAATTGCGTATCTAATTCGAATGAAAAAAAAAAAATACTATGCGTCACAATTTTGATACTTTAGAAAAAATCTCATGACACTAAGTATTTTATTTTTTTCTTTTTCTACAACTTCAATGGTGCAGGAATAGCAATGAATTCAAAGGGGACAAAATTGGCCAATTGGGGTAATTAGAAATAATATAGATTTTTTTTTTTTTCAAACATATTACGAGAATATGCGAATATATTAATAGGTATATGTTTGTATATATAAATATATTTCGTTAGAACGCCTAGCCTAATTGGGGTAAATTAAAATGTAGAGTGTTTATATGAGCCTGAAGAGATTTACAGTAATAATTATATTTCTTGTACTTAATAAAAATAGACATACCTCGTGTGGACATATATATATGATATGCTCATAAAAACATGAATACAAACTTTTAGACTTGAATAATGAAAAAGTGGATTCCATTTTTACAAAATGGGATATAAAAAAAGGAAAAAAAAAAATTCGTTACATGAAACTTGCCATACATATAATAATTTATCTGTCATACTTTCGTTTTAACAATCACAAAATTTTACAGCGAAATAGGAGAAGCTTTTATGTGGGAAAAAATTGTTTATACATAATACAAGCACAAATAAATCTTTTCAAATAATTTTTTTCCTTTTTTTTTTTTTTTTTTTCTTATACTTAAATAATTTATTATACATTAATATGTAGTACCGTTTCGACAGTCATTATCATCAACATCTTTTTTTTTTTTTTAAAAAATAAATTATAGTTAACAACTAGTGGGGAGTAATTCTTCTTAACTTTTTCTCCCTGTCCAATTGTTGACAATTTTTAGGAGAAATAAATAAACTCATATTAGAAGAGATTTACGTAAAAAGAAAAGAAATATTCATAGCACAAGGTTAGAAAAATAATAAATAAAACCTACTCTTCTATTTTACATATTCTCCCTTTTTATAAGCCAAATTGGAATTGTTCTTAAAAACTACAAGTAGTTAGACATATTCATATCTTAAATATGGACTAATGATAGATTAAGTAGAATTTTACACATGTTCAATTCCACTAGTTATACATAACGGTGGTGGTGGTGAAGTGTGTGTGTGGTATAAACACATGTAGATAGCTAAGGAAATTTTTTGACATAATATAAATGTGATTTTTTTTTTCTTTTTTTTCTTCTTATAATTTATGTGCACATAAAGGGAATGTTAAAAATGTATAAGGTGTTGTTGTTCATTATTTAATACTATATTAAATATTTCACTGAACTTTATATTCCATATGTATTTTTTTTTTTCTCCCCCTCATGAGTTTACTTATTTTGCATGGATATTTTAAATAGCGTTTGGCACTATTTTGTGTGACAAATAAAAAATGAATGCATGAAAATGTTGCAAATATGTTTTTTTCTTTTCTCCCTGTAAAAAAATGATTACAATTCTCTTTCTAGCTTATTTTAGAGAAAATAATAATGAAAACTTTTTCAATAATTCTATTTCTTATGTTTTTTTTTTTTTTTTTTGCTTGAAAACTTAGAATTATTAAAAAAATGCTGGAAGATCCTATTTACTTATTTTTTTATTTTCTGAGTTTCAGCTTCATCATTATTATTACTTTTTACATCATATTTGGATTACATACCTTAGCATGATATTTAAGAATTATTTTTTTTTTTTATTATTTTCGTCACACCTAACTAACGCCCAGTATTGCTACATTAGATACTCTTTCATTGTACTATATACAGAGTAACAAAAAAAAAATAAAAAAAAAGTAAATAAATAAATAAATAAATAAAATAAAATATAATAATAATAGCTACGAGCAAATAAATATGTGCATTATTTTTGCTTTAGTATATTAAGTAGGTTAAGATTATTTTTTATACCTAATCTCATTCATCACAATATATTACATTCAGTATATTTGTATTAGAAGAAAAAAAAAGAAAAGTAAAAAAAGTAAAAAAGTAAAAAAGTACGCTCTAGTAGATATATTTATATGCTCTGTTTTAATAATTTTTTTAGAAAGTTAAGAACAAATTTTTTTTTCTCGTTTTTTCTCTTTTTTTTCCTTGATTTTACACTTTATTTCGTGATTATGTAAACAAATGAATAATTTTGTACATATTTATACGAAAACTTAATCAAATCGTTTGCTCATTTATTCTTTTTTGCTGTTTTAACAAACCTATATATTATTATTATACAATCATGTATCATTAAAACTGTGCTATCTTTTATTCTTTCCCATATTTATTATTTGAAATTATTATTATTATTATTATTACTATTATTATTATTTTTTTTTCTTTGTTACAAGCATAAAAAAATGGCAATGAAAAATCCCCAGTATGTTTCCAACCATCGTGCAACTGAGTCTTATTATGGAACATGCAAAAGTGAAAATAAAAAAGTGGTGGATTCGTGTGGAACTAGCAATGTGGGAATGTTAAATGGGTGCCACAAAATTGGGGGAATAAGCATTCCCCTTTTTTTTGCAAAAGTGTTGATATTTGTCAACTTGGTTTTACTATTGCAGCCTTCTTCACATAGTGTAAGATAGAAACAGGGGACAAAAAGGAAAAAAAAAATATATATATATATATATATATATATATTATGTAGCGAATGTGTAAAGAAATATATTTTTGTGTGTTTGTGTGTGTGTTTTTTTTTTTCTCCCCCTTTTGAGCACATTTATATGGGCATATCGTTTCCCCCTACTTGTATTTATTTTTAGATGGCTATTGACAAAACGAGAGGAGAATATCATGAGGGTACCACATGGAGGACCAATGAAGGACAGTGGGAAAATGTACGAAAGAACCGAATTTTAATTGAGTGTTTAAAAAACTCCAACAAAACTTATGATAAACTAGAACAAAATATTGTAGAAAAAATAGAAAACATATACGAAGAACAGAGACGAAACATTGTATCTAAAATAATGGCCTTTATAAAAAAAATTGATTTAATTGTGGAAAAAGAAATAATAAAAACGCTTAAGTATATAGAAGCTGAAAAGGACGAACCAATTAAAAGTGGCTTAAATTTTCTTGAAAAAGTGAAAAACTTTTTTAGAGGATTTAAGATATTTTCAACTCCTGTTTTGGGCACTCTAGCTGCTTTTACTGCGTACTATTTTAAATCTAAAGCTTTTACTGCCATGGTTTTTTTAACCGTGTCGTTTTTACCTTTCATTTCGACATGTTACTTGGCTTATAAAATATTTAAAATACGCAGTGAAATGTCAAAATGAAATCCAAAAGGATGATTCAGATGCCCAGGTGCATATGTTTCTTGCATATACCATAGACCACCTATGTGTGTACTTGTGCCTGGGGTTGGTTCCTATAATTGTATATTGTACCACGTTATTACTCAAAATATGTTATTCCATTCCTGATGAAAATTTAAAAAGGGGAAAAACAAGATAGAGATATTTCAACAAGCATAGAGATACAGGCAATCTAATTGAGAGATCAATTCAAAAGTGTAGGAAATGCATAAGTGGGAATCTGTGAGTGTGTATATGAACATTAGAGGTGGCGAGGGGGGGGCATGCGATGAGCATATGTATAGATACATAGGTTGCGTCATTTTTGTAATTTGTTAACAATGCGTACTATTTTTTCTTCTTTTCCTTTCTTTTTTTTCTTTTTTTTTTTTGTACCGTGAACATGTACATTGTTACCTCCCCACCTCGTCCCATTCCTTTTTTTTTTTTTTAACTAGTGTAAAATATTGCACACAGGTGAAGGTGAACATGTGCATGACACATGCATATGTATACACATATGATTACACGTATCAGCATTTTAGACCCCCATGTTTGTATATACTTTTCACAGAAATAGTTGGACGTTTTTAAAGAGAAAATCATACACACTAGATGTAACAACTAATGTGAACAGAACAAATGAAAATACGAACCTCACCATCCTGTTTAATTTTTTAAAAATTTAATTTTAATAAACATATTTAAGCTCACTTGTGCAAGATATATTTAAACCTCTTTCCAAAGAAAAAAAAAAAAAAAAAAAAAAAAAAAACATTAGTGGCATTATTCCTATTTTATGAATAAAATTTTCCATTTGAAATTTTGGTAAAATGTATTACAAGTAAATTTGTTCTATGTTAATGGACTATGGGCACTTTGACTCTAAGTATTCTTTATTTAATATGAAGAGAAAACTTAGGACAATTTAAGACTCAATAAGATTATAACAGTGCATTGCAATTTATCATTATTATTACTATTACATTGTATTATATTACATTTTTTTTTTTTTTTTTTTTGTTTCCCCCTCTTTTTTTTACGATTAAATGAACTTGATAAAGTTATTTTTTATACGTCCATTCCATCCCCACATTAAGAATTCCACACCAAGACGTATGATACACATGCTAATAAAAACCAGTTTGATTGTTTATACCAAAAAAAATGTAGTAGTAGTAGTAGTGGTAGTAATTTAAATAAAATTTTACTTACGCAATAACGTGATATAAATATATTACTTTCCTTGTGACAGTATATATACACCTGCTATATAGAAAAGATATTAAATTAATCATAAAAATATTTTTCTTTTAATGAGTTTTCCACTTTCTACACAACTTTGTAACGTTTTTTTCCCTCCCTCAGTATGGCGTAAATAAAAAGGAAGGTTTATTTTTCCTCTTCTGGAACAAACATTTACTTGTGTGAATGAGAGAGAGTGGTTTGTGGTGATGAAATTACAAGTACAATGTAAAGAGTAATATTTTCATATGAGGGAGAATGGGAACTTATTATATCAGCTGCTTAAAAGGAAAAATTCTCTCCCCTTGGGTAAACAACAAGGAATATCAAGGAAAATAAACGCACACATGGTTGGGCAAAAAAGGGTGATAAAAAATGTGGCAAAAAAAATGGACAAAAATTGGCGACAAAAATAAGGACATCATCCCCTGTTCTCAAACGGGGGGATGAGGAATAAATGACAAAACGTCGTTTAGAAAAAAAAAAAAAAAAAAAATAATAAAATAAATTTATATCTTCTTATATGTCCCTTAAAAAAAAAAAAAACATAGTATATTTTTTCAAGATCAGAATTTATCAACATAGTTAAAAAAAAAAAAATTATTGAAAAAAACTAGTTAAGAACCCGAGGTTACTCATTAATGTGCAGATGAAAAATTCATTTAAACGTCTTAGTCAATGCGAAATATACTTTCACATTAACTGGTATTTTACTACATAATGAGCTTAACGTAAAATGTGTTAAGATTAAATAAGTAAAAAGTTTTGGACTGATATTATACTACGTGATGTGTTGTGGGGAAAACATGGATGAGGACAAAAAATGATAATGAATTCATTTGAGAAAAAGAACAAGAAAAAATCAACTCTATATGATCAACCTGTTTGTGGAGAAAGTGTGTATATTCGGTTATTAGCTTTAATCCTAGCAAAGGAGCTATAAAAAAATATATGGGTTACATGTGGCATACGATTGTTACGTCTGTTTATATGAAGGAAAGTGGATCTTTTACTTCTTTTTTTTTTTTTTTTTTTTGGCATGTTTTCTCTCATTTGTATGTTTAATTTAGGAGCTCCTTCCATTTCCCATTACTGTGATACATATTTTTACAACATTTTTTCGTGTTTTTCCATTAAAGATATAAAAGAGTTAAAATGGGAGACATGCCAAAAAGCAGTTTAAGATGGAAATTATTAAAAGGTATTACAGTGCAGAGAAAAAGTAAAGTCACATATACACACTACTTTTTTTTTTTTTTTTTTTTTTAAATGGTTTTATAAACTATATAGAAGTATTTTTAGTATATTACGTTGTAATCTTGTTTGTGACATGTGTATAAAGATTACATAGACACAATGGTGTTATGTATATAAATACTGGACGAAGAACTACACACTTTTGTGAAAGTTTGTGCTAGACCCCCACCCCTTTGTTCGCCCATATATTGGTGCGTGTTCCAACTGAAAATAAAATGTAGAGAATATATAAAAATGGATAAAAAAGGTTTTTTTATATACCATATATATGTAATAATTTAAAATAAAGGCCAAAAAATAAATGAACCTTTTTTTTTTTTTTTTTTTAAAGTAATACTTGAGGAAGAAATTGTAAGGAAATAAAAATATTTTAAAAAATTGTATTCATCTGATCCTGCTGATTTTTTTTTTTTTTTTTTTTTTTTTTTTTCCCTCTTTTGTGCATCTATGCTTGTTAACAATTATACAGTTGTATAATACTGTTAATAAATTAAACATCTGCATTTGGAAGAACAACCTGTTACACCGACCTCTTCAAATTTTTATACATAGTTAAACATGTTTTCGTTATATAAAAAAAAAAAAAAAAAAAAAAAGTTGTTAATATGGCTTTGTTTAACCTTATTTAAGCATATAAAATGGAATAGATTGTAATATATGAAAAGGTGAACACAAGAGTAGGATGATCTAGTAATAGTAAACTTCTATCAATGCAGTTTCGCAGGTTTGATTACTAAGTTGTATCTTACAAATTCTGTAGATATTTTACTTTTTGCTTTCCTTATAATTGCATATATATCTATATATACGTAGTACAATTTCATAAATGCGAATTTTATTTGTTCTACACATATTTTTTCTTGCGTGAAAAAATGACTGTATTATTATATATAATATATATACAATATTTTTTTGAAATCTTAAATTTTTTTTTTTTTTTTTTTGTTAGTGTTGTAAATTCGTTAATAATTCTTCTACTAAAAAGGTGTTCAGTTTATTGTGCTTAAGGTTTGGTCGATCAATGACTAAAACAGGATGTTTAAATTTTTTTTTTTTTTTTTTTTTTTTTTTTTCTTAATGTACAGATAATTCTATATTTGTATATGCATGAGCAATTTTATGATATATAATGTTGTTATAATTTTTTTTCATTTATTTATAACACAAGAAATATTGGTTGTATAGTTATTATTATATATATATATATATATATAATGCAAAATCCGTTTTTGTAAAAACAAATTTTGCATGTAGGGAAGTTGAGTTACACCTAGTTTTAGATTTTTAGAATGACAGCCAAGTGTGCCTAAATTCAACGGTTTCTTTGGTTAACTTTTTTTTTTTTTTTTTTTTTTAAAACTATATACTGCTAACATTTTATTATATATTGTATATATGTATAAGGCACAGCAAAGTTAACGCATGTTTTTAAATTTTTTGTGCTTTATTTAAAAAAAAACAAGAAAAAAAAAAAAAAAAACAGTAAAGCTTTAAAAAAAAACCACAATTGCCTATAGTTAAAAATTCAAAAATTGGGTGCGTTTATAATATATATTAAAAAATTCTCTATACCCATATAATAAAGTTAGTTTTTTATTGTATTATAAATGATTCTACATGTATTAACACGATAAGAGATAGTGCATATAAAATGTTGCCTTGGGGGGCTCATCTATGCATCTATTTATCTACTCTTTTTTTTTTTTTTTTTCTGTTTTTTGTTTTTTTTTTTTCACAAGCATAATTTTGATGAAGTAGTTATATATATACTATACATATTAAGTAGAAATGAACTATTTTTAGGAATTTTTTTTTTTTTTTTCTTGTTGAAGTTTTGAACGAACTTTTGTAACAATTACAATGTCATAGATGTTTATGTACATAGATGTGGAAATGTCAACCAGTACTTTTCAGGTTTATGTGTTATAGATATATATTTACTAACTACCATGACTGATAGATAAAGAGATAATAAAATAATGAAATTTATATATATATATATATATATATATGTAAATATGTATGTATAATAAACAACTAAGAATTTTTTTTTTTTTTTCCTAGTGCTAGAGGATTTCAATTTCATTAGTTTAGCTGTTTCTTTTTTTTTTTTTTTTTTTTGGTTTTCAAATTCAGTGTACACAGAGAAATTACATAATGAAAAAAAAAGAAAAAAAAAGCATGCCTAACTATTGAAAGTTTCCTATAACCGCTTTTATTTGTTTTTTTTTTTTTTTTTTTCTTTCTTTTTTGAGTAATTTATCATTTGAATTTAAATTTAAGATATAATTAATTTAATTGGATTTTTTTTGTTTTTCCTTTTTTTTTTTTTGGAAAAGAAAAAAGAAAAAAAAAGAAGATTTTCTGAAAGGGAAAATGTTAATACAGAACTATTAAGTATTTCCATATATGCTTGTATTTATATGTATGTAGAATTATACGTACATATATATACACAGCATAGATATAGGAGAGCGCTTTATATATGTATGCAGAATGGATTTATAATATCGAACGGCTTATAAATATAGATTCTATTAACTCTATTTTTTTTTTTTTTTTTTTACCAATTATATAATAAAAAATGTTTTAAAGTACCTTTTTATAAGAAGTTATTAGAAGATCATTTTCGAAATATTTTTTGTGTAGTTATACGAGAACGAACACGCATGCATGCGCACACATATATATACACATGCAGCACAACACACCACATACCACATGAATATTTTGAATATATTTTTTAACATATAGAAGAGATACCATAAAAATGATAAATAATAGGTACATCCCGAATTTGTCTAATTATAATGAAAATAATAATCAACATGCAAGCAACAATTTTAATAGAACAGACATGTCCACATTAAAAAAATGTCATATGAGAGAAAAAGTAAATAGGTTTTCTTTTTTATTCAAAATAGTTACTTGTACCATTTTTATATGGGTGATGCAATATTCTCATGGAGACAACAATGTAGGAAGAATACATAGTAGAATAGAGGGATATGAATAGAACGCATCAATGCATACACACGTGCATGTACTACATATATTGATGCAAAGTGCTAACTATGTGAATATTTGTGGTCTCTCTTTGTTTTTGTTTATCCCTTTTTTACACACAAGGTTTTATGTTGAGATCTTTTTTGTGTTTTACGCATGTGTGTTACATTTCAGTAATTGTTGTTTTTCAAAATATTTATGTAAGAGGCAGAGTGATTTTTAGCATATTATTATTTTTAGTAGTAGTAGTAGCAGTAATAGTAGCAGCAGTAGTAGCAGTAGTAGTAATATTAGTAGAAGTATTATTATTATTTTATTTTTTTTTTTTTCTTCTTTTTTCCAGAGTACCTCTGACGAATCATGGGATAATAAAAATGTTAAGTCATATAAAATTTTAAGTAAACGTTTCACCAGATTATTAGCAGAAAATGATGAATTGGATGAACTTCATTTTCAAGCTGTAAAGGAAGGCGTCTTAGATGACCATAGTAGTGATGAATACTTAGATGAAATTTCAACAGGAATTTCAGAAAATGGAGATACTGAAATAAATAAAGTTCTATTAGATGAGATAGAAAATGAAGAAGATATAGAATCAGATATTATAGAGCACCTAAGAAAACGATTCAAAAATTACAAGACTAGTGATAATACAGAAGCAGTTGATGGTACTGACGAAGAAGCGAACTATGAAAATGTAATAGAAAATACAGAAAACAATGAACCAGTGAATAATAACATTTTCGGTACAGGAGAGAATAATCAAGAACAAGAAAATGAGGAACAAGAACACAGCAGCAGTATGTTCTATAATGTATCTCAATATGGGGAAGATGTAGAGGAAGTAAGGGAAAATGAAGAGAAACCTAGATCCATATTCGATAATGTAAATGAGAATGTAGAAGAAGTAGAAGAACCAGTTACTACGTCCATATTTGACAATACAGAAGAGAATGTGCAAGAGGATGATGAACCAGTTACTACGTCCATATTTGACAATACAGAAGAGAATGTGCAAGAGGATGATGAACCAGTTACTACTTCCATACTTAATAATGCAGAAGATGTGGAAGAAGAACCAGCTGTTAGTTCCATATTTGATAATGTAGAAGAGAATGTAGAAATGGAAGAACCAGCTACTTCATCCATATTTGATAACGTAGAAGAAAATGTAGAAGTGGAAGGACCAGTTAATACTTCCATATTTGATAATGAAGAAGAGAATGTAGAAGAAGAACAAGTTTATACTTCCACACGTGATAATGATGAAGAGAATGTAGAAGAAGAACAAGTTTATACTTCCACACGTGATAATGATGAAGAAAATGTAGAAGTAGAAGAACCAGCTGTTAGTTCCACACATGATAATGTAGAAGAGAATGTAGAAATGGAAGAACAAGATACTACGCCCTTATTTGATAATGTAGAAGAGAATGTAGATGAGAGTGATGAACCAGTTACTACTTCCGCACCTGATAATGAAGAAGAGAATGTAGAAGAAGAACAAGTTTATACTTCCACACGTGATAATGATGAAGAAAATGTAGAAGTAGAAGAACCAGCTGTTAGTTCCACACATGATAATGTAGAAGAGAATGTAGAAATGGAAGAACAAGATACTACGCCCTTATTTGATAATGTAGAAGAGAATGTAGATGAGAGTGATGAACCAGTTACTACTTCCGCACCTGATAATGAAGAAGAGAATGTAGAAAATGATGAACCAGCTACTTCATCCATATTTGATAACGTAGAAGAAAATGTAGAAGAAGTGGAAGAACCAGTTAATACTTCCACATTCGATAATGATGAACAAAATGTAGAAGTAGAAGAACCAGCTGCTACTTCCACATTTGATAATGAAGAGGAGAATGTAAAAGATCTGGAAGAACCAGATATTACGCCCTTATTTGATAATGTAGAAGAGAATGTAGATGAGAGTGATGAATCAGTTAATATGCACATATTTGATAATGTGGAAGAAGAACCATCTAATACTTTCACACTTGATGATGTAGAAGAAAATGTGGAAAAACCTTCTAATACTTCTACACTTGATAATGAAGAAGAGAATGTGGAAAAACCTTCTAGTACTTCTACACTTGATAATGAAGAAGAGAATGTAGAAGAAAGTGATGAACCAGCAACTACGCCCCTATTTGATAATGTAGAAGAAGTGGAAGAACCATTTACTACTCCCATATTTAATAATGAAGAAGAGAATGTAGAAGAAAGTGATGAACCAGCAACTACGCCCCTATTTGATAATGTAGAAGAAGTGGAAGAACCATTTACTACTCCCATATTTAATAATGAAGAAGAGAATGTAGAAGAAAGTGATGAACCAGAAACTACGCCTCTATTTGATAATGTAGAAGAAAATGCAGAAGTGGAAGAACCAGTTACTACATCCATATTTGATAATTTAGAAGATTTGGAACAAGTTGAAGAACCAGTTACTACTTCCCTATTCGATAATTCAGAAGAGAATTTCGAAAATGATGAATCAGCCACTACATCCGTATTTGATAATGAAGAAGGGAACATGGAAAATGATGAACCAGTTACCTCATCAATATTTGATAACGTGGAAGAGAATGTAGAAGATGTAGAAGAATCAGTTACTACTTCCACACTTGATAATGATGAAGTTAATGTAGAAGATATGGAAGAACCAGCTATTAGTTCCATGTTTGACAATGCAGAAGAGAATGTAGAAGAGAGTGATGAATCAGTTACTACATCCATATTTGATAACGTGGAAGAAGAACCATCTAATACTTCCATACTTGATAATGAAGAAGAGAATGTAGAAAATGATGAACCAGTTACTTCATCCTTATTTGATAACGTAGAAGAAAATGTACAAGTGGAAGAACCTGTTAATAGTGTGCTTGATAATATGCTAGAAACTATGAATGAACCTGATAAATTAGCTATTCCCATATCCGATGAAGTAGAAGTAGAAGAAGCAAGTGAAAATGATGATACAGTAACACCCATTTTCGATAATGTAGAAAACATGGAAGAACCTGTTACTAGTTCTCTCGTTCATAATTCATGGGAGAATGTAGATGCAGTTGAGGAACCGCTAGAGGAAGTTGTAGAAGAAATTACACAAGTTACTAATGAAGTAGAAGAAGTGGAAGAAGAAAAAGCAGAACCTTTAGAAGAGTCTGCAGAGGAAGCAGCAGATGAGATAATAGAAGAGGAAGAAGAAGAAAAAGCAGAACCTTTAGAAGAGTCTGCAGAGAAATATGTAGAGGAAGCTGTAGAAGTTGTTCAGGAAGCAGCAGATGAGATAATAGAAGAGGAAAAAGAAAAAGTAGAAGAATCTGTAGAGGAAGTTACAGAGGAATATGTAAAGGAAGCTGTAGAAGTTGTTCAGGAAGCTGCCGATGAGATAATAGAAGAGGAAGAAGAAAAAGTAGAACCCTTAGAAGAGTCTGCAGAGGAATATGTAGAGGAAGCTGTAGAAGTTGTTCAGGAAGCTGCAGATGAGGTAATAGAAGAGGAAGAAGAAAAAGTAGAACCCTTAGAAGAGTCTGCAGAGGAATATGTAGAGGAAGCTGTAGAAGTTGTTCAGGAAGCTGCAGATGAGGTAATAGAAGAGGAAGAAGAAAAAGTAGAACCCTTAGAAGAGTCTGCAGAGGAATATGTAGAGGAAGCTGTAGAAGTTGTTCAGGAAGCTGCAGATGAGGTAATAGAAGAGGAAGAAGAAAAAGCAGAAGAATCTATAGAGGATTTTCCAAAGGAATACATAGAGGAAGCTGTAGAAGTTGTGCAAGAAGCTGCAGATGAGATAATAGAAGAGGAAGAAGAAAAAGCAGAACCCTTAGAAGAGTCTGCAGAGGAATATGTAGAGGAAGCTGTAGAAGTTGTGCAAGAAGCTGCAGATGAGATAATAGAAGAGGAAGAAGAAAAAGCAGAAGAATCTGTAGAGGAGGTTGCAGAAGAAATACTAGTAGAAAAGGAAGAATCCAATGAAAATACATTAGATGTTTTAGAAGAAATAAAGGAAATCATATCTAAGAAATTAGACGTGGTTGAGGAAGTAAATGAAAATGTTTTAAATATTCCAGTAGAATCTGCTATGGAGAACGAAGTTACTGATTACGCTGAAAGCGAATTTTTTGAAGAAGGTATATTGAATAATTTAGAAGAAAATAAAGAATCAAATGAAGAAAAACTAGAATCTATAGAAGAATTAAAGAATGAGTTAATAGAAAATATAGAAGGAAAAGTTGAAGACCACGAAAATGCTTTAATAGATTTGATGCAGACCCTTGAAAAAGGAGCTGGAATGAATGATAGCGTGTTAGAAGATTTAGAAAAAATAAAGGATGATATGCTAAGTAATATACAAAGTACCGAAGTGAAAAAAGAAGGTATATTAGAAAATTTTGAAGAAAGTGTAGAAATACACCCAGAGGAGGTTACAGAAAAACATTCAGTAGAAAATGAATCAGTAGAAAATGAAGTAGTAGAAAATGAATCAGTAGAAAATGAAGTAGTAAAAAATGAAGTAGTAGAAAATGAAGCAGTAGAAAATGAAGCAGTAGAAAATGAAATAGTATCAGAAAATGTTTTTGACATTTTAAAAGAAATAAAAGAAAATGTATTAGAAAGCCTGGAAGATAGAACAGATGAAAATGTAGCAGAAAGTGTAGATGAAAATTCGTTTGAGGTTTTAAAAGAACTGCAGGAAAGCCTATTAGAAAACTTTGAACAGAAAACAGAAGAGAACGAAAATTTATTAGGAACTGTTTTGGAGAATATACAAGAATCGACAGAATCAAGTGAAGATGTGATGGAAAACATAATGGAGGAATTAAAGGAAGAAACTGTCGAAGAGGCTGTATCTGAACCAGTTGTAGAAACAGCCGAAGAGTCTGAAGAGGAAGCTGTAGAACAATTCGAAGAAGGAGCTGTTGAAGAATCAATGGAAAAATCTTCTGAAAAAATTATTGAACATGTTACAGATGTAATAGTAGAAGAACCAGTAGAAAAATCTGCTGAAGAAATTATTGAACATGTTGCAGATGTAATAGCTGAAGAACCAGTAGAAAAATCTGCTGAAGAAATTATTGAACATGTTGCAGATGTAATAGTAGAAGAATCAGTAGAAAAATCTGCTGAAGAAATTATTGAACATGTTGCAGATGTAATAGCTGAAGAATCTGTAGAAGAAGTTGTTGAAGAAATTTTAGAACACGTTGAAAAACCAATAGCAGAAGAACACGTAGAGGAAACTATTGAAGATAATTTAGAGGAAATTTCAGAAGAATTTATGCTAAAAAATGTTGAAAGTATTGTAGAAGAATCTATGCTAAAAGATGTTGAAAGTGTTGTAGAAGAATCTATACTAAAAGATGTTGAAAGTGTTGTAGAAGAATCTATACTAAAAGATGTTGAAAGTGTTGTAGAAGAATCTATACTAAAAGATGTTGAAAGTGTTGTAGAAGAATCTATACTAAAAGATGTTGAAAGTATTGTAGAAGAATCTATGGAATCTACCGAAAAAAATATTGAAGCTATGGAAGAGGCCATCGATAACATTAGAGAAGATGTTGCAGATATGTCATTAGAAGAAACCGTTGAGGATATTGTGACAGAAAATCTTGAAAATGCTGAACAAGAATCAGCACACGAATCTGTAGAAGAAACTATTGAAGATATTATAGTACCACCAGAAGAAGACAGTTCAGAAGCATCAGTAGAAACCGTTGTAGAGCAATCCGTTGAGGATAACTATGTAGGAAGGATGGAATCTAATATATATAATGATGTAGATTCTACAAAAGAGGAATACGAAGAAAGTGTAGAAGAGTCACTAGATGTAGATGCACAGGAAGCAATCCAGGAAGTAGCAGAAGATATAGCAGCAATAGAAAGTAAGAAAGAAAGTGAAGTGGAAGTAGCAGAAGATATAGTAGCAAAAGAAAGTGAAGAAGATAGCGAAGGAGAGAATGAAGAAGAAGATGGAGAGGAAAGTGAAGAAGAAAGCGAAGAAATCGATCCAGACTTTTTAAATTTGGATGAATTTAAAAAACAGTTTCTCTTACACAGGCCTGATAATGCAGAATTAGATGAAGAAGAAATAAAAAAAGTAACAGCGGATTTACAGAAAAAATTATTATCCATGTTATCTGGAAATATGGAAGATGATGAAGATGATGAAGATGATGAAGAAGATGATGATGATGATGATGATGAAAGTATAGAGGAGGATGTTAGAGTAGAAGAAGTAGAAGATGAAGAAAAAGAAGAGGATGTAAAAGTAGAGAAAGCAGTAGATATGGACGTGCTGGATGCAACGGAAGTTTCAACTGAAGAGTTAAAACATGAAACTGTTTATACTGTGGAAGAACCTGCAGAGGAAGTTTTATCAGAAGAAGCAACGGAAGTTTCAACTGATGTGTTAGAACATGAATCTGTTGATGCTGTGGAAGAATCTATGGAGGAGGAAGCTAAGGGAGATATAATAGAAGAACCTTTATATACGGTTCAAGAGCCAGTAGAAGTACATATAGAACAATCTCAAGAGGAAGGTGGAGAGGAAAGTGGAGAAGAAAAAGTAGAAGAAAGCGGAGAAGAAAGTGGAGAAGAAAACGGAGAAGAAAGTGGAGAAGAAAACGAAGAAATCGAAGAAATCGAAGAAATCGAAGAAATCGAAGAAATCGATCCAGACTTTTTAAATTTGGATGAAATTAAAAAACAATTTCAGTTACACAGGCCTGATAATGCAGAATTAGATGAAGAAGAAATAAAAAAAGTAACTGCGGATTTACAAAAAAAATTATTATCCATGTTATCGGGTAATATGGAAGATGATGAAGATGATGAAGAAGATGAAGAAGATGATGATGAGGATGATAATGAAAGTATAGTGGAGGATGTTAGAGTAGAAGAAGTAGAAGATGAAGAAAAAGAAGAGGATATAAAAGTGGAGAAAGCAGTAGATATGGACGAGTTGGATGCAACGGAAGTTTCAACTGCAGAGATAGAGCATGAAACAGTCGATGCAGTGGAAGAAGTTGCAGAGGAAGTTTTATCAGAAGAGGCAACAGAAGTTTCAACTGAAGTGTTAAAACATGAAACTGTTGATACTGTGGAAGAACCTACAGAGGAAGTGTTATCAGAGGATGCAGAAGAAATCATAAAAGATGGAATGGGGGTGATAGAAGAACATATAAAGAAGACACTTGAAATTGTGCAAGAGTCAGTGGAGAAAGTTGTAGAAGAGGAGGAAAAAGTAGAACCTGTAGATGAAGTAAAGGGAGACATAGTAGACGAATCCCAATATCCACTGCAAGAGCCAGTAAAATTACATATAGAACAATCTGAAGAGGAATGTGGAGTGGAGGGTGAAGAGGAAAGTGAAGAGGAAAGCGAAGAGGAAAGCGAAGAAAAAGATAATTCATCAGATATGTTATCCGGAAGTGCAGAATCGGAGGATGAAGAATCGGATGAATTAAATTTAGACTTACAGAAAAATATATTAGATATGTTTTCCAAAAATCTAGGGCTTAACGAAAATATGTTAGGAAAGTTAAAGGGTGTTGAAAGCTTGAATGCTAGTATACCAAATATATTAGGAAAGACAAAAGGTATACCTCAATCAGAAATAGAAGCGATGAAGAATATTTTCGCAGGTAGGCTCCATGGTCATATGCCTAAAGGAGTGCCATTAATGAAAATGCAAGAACAATTAAAGGCGCCTATGGCACCAAAGAAGAAAGAAGAAAGTGTGTCCAAGGATAAGCATTCTGAAAAAAAATCGTTAAGTAAATTATTAAAATTAGAGGAAAAAAAACCTATACTTAAAGCAGTAGGAAAGAACATAGCAAATATGTTATTAGTAACAAAGGATATATTATCTTCTCCCGAAAAAATTAAAGAAACAGCATTGAAATTTTCTGATAAAATTAGATTAAGCCTTGAAATAATTAAAACACATTTAACAACAGTTAAAAATTTCCTACTGAGAGTAGATGAAGAAGTTGATAAAGAAATTACTAAACTAATGGAACCAGAAGAGAGAGGTCATGAAAATATTATTAAGGCTAATGAAAGATTTTTGGATAAAATGAAAAGATTAGTAAATAAATATAAAATATTTTCTATACCATTTTTCTCTGGAATGGGTGCATTTGGCTTTTTGGCATTTGGAGCAGTTACTACATCTATATTATCATCCTGCCTAACTATATTTTCAGTAACGTATCTTTTATCCAAAATAGACATGAAATTCAATAAAGATAAAAACAGAAAATTTTATTCCTTTTATGTAGATGCTTTTAATAACTTATCATACCTGAGAAGATATTTTGAAAATGTTTATAACAACTTCCCGATATGGGACGATATATAAATGTATTATACACTTCACATGTGCGCATTGCATTAACAAATAAAGGGTATACTTAAAAAAGAAAAAAATAGGAAGAGAAAGTACACGTAAGAGAGATAAAAAAGGTGAGAGGTGTGGATATACTTCTACTGTTATATTTTAATTTGGGAAAATTTTTTAAATTTTTTACATGGAAGGAAAGTAAATAAAGAACTCCGCCCCTTGGACCTTTTCTGGCTCATTATTATCAAGGCTTTCATTGATAAAAATTTTTATTTTAAAAAAAAAAAAAAAAAACATACACGATTTGGGTAAATAGGGAATATTTTTTTTATTTACAAAAGTTTTCATCTTTTTCTTTTTCAAATTACATTTTATTTATACGAATTTCGTAAATGCTTGACATAGAAAATTTATACTTTTATGGCATTCCTTTTTAAAATGTATGTATATATATACATATATATATGTATAGTAGGAATGGCGTGAACGAATATTATTGTATCTTCTTCCCATATATGTTCATATATATAAACTTGTATATATATAATTATGTACTCCACAATTAATTTGTAATTTTTTTAAACTGAAATAGTTATATATTCATTTCACGCTCTTTAATTCACAAATTTTAAAATAACTATGAATGTGCATGGCTTGCGCATATATGCTTCCAACTTTTTTTTTTTTTTTTCGCCATATTAAACTGTTATAATAATGTTTAATTTTTATATTTCAATATAAATAAAATAAAAAAGATAAACATAAATTATCTGATGCTTTAACAAAATAGGGTTGGGTAGGAAAAGTAAAAAATTGTCAGATTGATGACAAGATAATTTTTTCACATTTTTTAGTAATCTTCACTAAAAAAAGTTTTGCAATATTTCTAAATGAATGTCTCAAGAAGGGCTATGGAAAATTCTCTAATAAAATAATTTTAACGGAAATAAAGAAAAAAATTTAGGAATAGAACTTTTTTCTTATCGGTTAAGTATGTTTTGAAACTATTATAGTGCAGAAATTTTTTTTTCTTTTTTTTTTTGGACATCTTTAAAGTATATCTGAAATACTAGTTCCTATTTGTTCTGTACAATGAAATAAATACGCAGGAGATAAATTTAAAAATATGGGAGGACTATTTTCTATATGATAAATAAAACTTTGTTTTATATGTTCATATTCGCAAACATGTTATATAGTATATAATTATTCTTTTTTTTTTTTTTTTTTAAAAGGGCATTTTCTGTGTTGTGATGAAATATGCATTTCATGAGGAACTTAGGAAATAATAAAAAAATATATTACCCACAAAAATGGGACAAAAATATTATATACAAAATACAAGTTATTAGGTTTATGAAAATTTTTTGTAATAATGTATTTTTTCGACGCATTCACATTTTTTATACCTATATATGTATATAAGTGCATCTTTTATTGTCTTTTGAATTCATAATTTTTTTTTTTGTAAACTTTTAATTGTTACATTTTGTTAAACATATACTCTTTTAAATGTTCAAAATTTTGCGCTTATAATTTTTCTTCATTATTTTTCTTTTCGTTTATTTTCTAAATATGCAATTAATTCTTTTAAAAAATAAATTAATGTATTAAGTCTCTTTTTTTTTTTTTTTTATCATATATGGTATTACTCCCCAGCAGAACACTTTATATGAACTTTTTTTGGGATACTAAAAAATGAACAACTTTTTTCTCGCACTAAGATATACTATATACACATTTTTTTTTTTTTTTTTATTTCTCACATTCTAAAATTCTAATAGAGAAATGTATAAAAAAAAAAAAAAAAAAAAAAAGAAAAGTTCAGTTTTTATATTATTGTTTTTTTTTTTTTTAAATAGAATGTATTTAAAGAGGGCAAAAAAGTACAATGTTGTATTAATTTATTATTAAAGATAAAAATTAATACTTTCTGTTTATTTTATAGTATTTATTTTGTATTATTTCATAAAAAGAAGTGCACTAATTATTTTTGATCTAATTTGGATTTTCATAATTTTTGTAATTTTAAAATAAAAAAATACTTGTTTTGTTACAATTTTAATGTTCCTTTTTTTTTTTAACGAAGTTATTTGTTCTGTAGAAAAAAAATACTACAGAATTATATACAGGCCAGTTGTACTATACTATATCATAGTTTTGTAGAACGTTCTTTTTTTTTTTTTTTAAATGAATACACTTGTTTATAGAATACAAGATATAAATATAAAAAAAAGTTTTTAATTAGAGCACAAGTTGTGTTTTAACTGAGTTTTAATGATTAGACATTCATGTTTTCAAAAAGAAAAAAAAATCACTAATATGAATTAATGCTATGAAGTAGAAATTAAAATTAAATGCACATATATTCTAGGCAAAAAAAAAAAACATATTTTTTTCTTTTTTTTTTTTTTTTTTAATCAAATGTTACATACGATTATGTTTGAATAGAATATTTTTAAATAATTTTTAATGCTATATCTTCTTTTCATTCTATCTAAGTATATGCACTAGAATATATTTTTTCGTTGCTTACAAATAATTAATTCACGGGATCCAATGAAATAATATACGCTTTTAAGAAAATTATACAAAACATAACGAAAAAGTAAAAATTTTAAAACAGTTTATCTTTGATATTTAATAAATTTGGGAAAAAAAGAAGGAATTATCATTATTTAATTTCCCAGGTTATTTCTATACTTGTGAGAGCAATGAAGAAATAATTCTAAGTGAAATAAATGGAACTACTTTTTTGTGCTAAAGCTTTTTCATTTTCCACATTAGTGTGGATATGTCAGTTTTACTACAATGAGGTAAGTAAAATTAATCTTACGACTTAATTATTACAAACTTTTTTATCATCTCATGTTTGTTTTTTTTTGTTTTTTTTTTTTTGCAAAAAAGGGATACGCAATTTTACATTTCATTCCATTTCATTTTATTTTATATTAGGGAATTGCTATTAAATCATTGATCATAGGACATAATGTTCTTGGCAATACAGTGGATGTAATAACTCACCGATTATTGTCTCAAAAGGATTCAGCAAAAGATTCAGTAGGAGTAGGAAAAAAAACAAGAAAGGATAATTTTTATAAGGTAAAGGGTGAATTAGGAGAGAGGAAAAAAGCTATGCTAAATAACATAAAAGGAGCAGTGAAGTTGGACGAGTTGAAGGAAAAATTAGATATGAAAAAAATGCAAGAATTAGTGAAGCTGGACGAATTGAAGGGGAAAATAAATTTAGAGGAAATTAAAGAGAAAATGAAATTAGACGAGTTGAAGGAAAAATTAGATGTGAAAAAAATGCAAGAATTAGTGAAGCTGGACGAATTGAAGGGAAAAATAAATTTAGAGGAAATTAAAGAGAAAATGAAATTAGACGAGTTGAAGGAAAAATTAGATGTGAAAAAAATGCAAGAATTAATGAAGCTAGACGAATTGAAGGGAAAAATAAATATAGAGAAAATGAAAGAAATAATGAAGTTAGACGAATTGAAGGGAAAATTAGATATAAATAAAATGAAAGAATTAATGAAGTTGGATGAATTGAAGGAAAAAATAAATATAGAGAAAATAGAAGAAAGAATGGAGAAAATAAAGTCAACGAAATTAGATGAACTAATTAATCTGA